CTATTACTGTTTCAATAATATTTTATTTTTCTTTTGTTCTTTTTCTCATATTTTATTCTTGTTTGATTAAAATTTTATGCTCATTCTAACTTTACTCTATATTTTTAACATTCCATGTAATATAAATATGATTTTTAATATTGATTTTTTTATTTCTAATACTCTTCGTTATCAAAATCTGCAGTATTTTGTCAGCTATGAAGCCAAAGTTTGGCGAATACCGAAATCGAAGTGACTATCTCAAACTTTCTCCGTACTTAACTTAATTGGTATTGGGAACAGTAACAAACTTTTACCACTTGCAAACTTAGCGTTTACGCTACTATTAAACTAATGTGACATTTCACAAATAATAATAAAATGTGCAGTCGTGTTAAATGAGCAAAAACTATCGAATTTTTCGAATGAAATGAACCGAGAGTGTTTCAGCATCAAAGCGTCAAAGAAGTTGTTTAAGTCGACTTGGCCCATTAGGGTTCAACAAGGCGAAGCTAATTAATTAACTGGCTTCTTAAACGAATTTTATTTGTTAGCTGAAATGTTCCGTGATGAGAAATTAATTGTGTTATTAAATTAGACTATGTTTTACTACTACAAGTTCAAGAAACTTCGAGATCGTTTATTGTAATTCGGGATTAAACTCGAGCGAAGGTTATTAAAACTTTGCTTTTTGTCCCGGATACAAACTAGTTTTGCGCAATTATGAAAAAATGGTGGATGCGCCGGGACCCCATTTAAAATTTATTCGAAAAGTTGGAACACATTTTTGTTTTCTTAGTAATTTGCTCAGGTCATTGCTCGCATTCCTCATCCATCTTCCGCCTCGACAAAGTCAACAACACATGTTTAACTTACTTATACAGTGTATCTCGCCGTTTTCGTGCGATGGAAAATCAATAAACATGAGTTCGGGAAATACAACAAGCTTCAATGGACTCCAATATCAATGTAATTTAATGCAAAGCATTTGTGTTAACTAACTTCGTGAATGCTGACATAAATGAGGGTATATCAATCCGAGTTAGTCACAGTTGACCTAAATAACTTAATTGTGACGATTCATGCATTATTTCACTGTTTAGAGTTGCAAAACTGAAACTAAAAAGCTCCCAAAACGCTCAAATTTTAAATTTCGCACCTGACTGCATTTAATTACGATTATGGCGGTGATTATAGAGCGTTAATGTTAAAAGCGCGCATAATGACCCGTGTAATGATCAGTATCCCAGAATGCTGTAATTTTTTTCTCTTATACAGCGTGACCTAGAAGTGTGTGACTAGTCAATATTTTTTTTTACTTGATATTATGGCATATCGTTTTGAACATTCAGTAGATGTGTACTAAAGTGTACCATGTCAAAATGTTTTTATTGTACAGGGTGCGCCAGAACTCGCGTCTCAGAGAAAAATGCCATTTAACGTAAGAAATCAGGAACATGAAAGAAATGTTAAAAAAACTATTTATAAAAATTTCGCTGTTATGAGAGTTTAAATTTTGCACTTTGACTCTATTTATTTCTGTTGGAGGAATAATTTTCCAAGACAAAAAAATTTAACATATTAAAAAATAAATGTCAATTTTTTTTTTGTTCTATGTTCCTGGTACCTTATCTTACTTGAAATTTTTCTCTGAGACGCAAGTTCTGACACCCTATATACAGGGTATTGTATACAGAGTGGTAAACCAAAGTTATATTCTTTAAAATAGAACATTCTGTATATTCTTACATTTTTACTTTTTACGTAAAACAATAATGGTACTTTCTATAAACTGATATAGATTTTCTTGGTTTATGGTGTTTTAATTTTTTATTTTGTTTTAACAAAATATTTCGAATTTAGTTTAGTTTCTCAAAATATCAATTTTCAGGCGTAATATTAGATTTTTTTTTCTGTTTCACTAAATTTGTGGTATTTAATAATATTTTCATAAAAAACTCGTTAAATCCAAGGTGTTTTTCTACTTAATTTTCCAATTTTTTATTTTACTTTTTCTTTTTGTAGAATTCAGTGACCTTCTCAATAAAAAAATCCTGACAAAATCAGCAAAAAAATTTTATATTTGCAAATTCAGTTAATTCTTTAGTGAAAAATACAGTTTAAATTCATAAAAATAAACAAAAATAACGTATTTACAGGTTTAATTTTGCAATTTTCACAAAATATCTCAGATTTAATAAACTTTTTAGTTAAAATAAGTCCAAAAAACGCATTTTATACCTACCTAATTTTGCAAATTTTTATTTTGTTTTGTCAAAATACTTGTATTCAGTAAGATTCATTGTATTTTGTAATGTTTTTGATGGAAGCACTCTCCAAGCTCGTTACTCGTCGCTTTTTAAGAAAAAATGACATTGGGGGACTTTTTTGACTCAAATAAAAAATTAATAAAAGACAAATTTGATACAGCTTACGTCTCAATAGTATATTATTTACCGAGTGAGAAAGTTGGTTTACAATACAAGCCGTAGGCAAGTGAAATAATTTATCTCAGTAAAAATGGTCATTTCTCAGGAGTAAAAAACTCCTAAGGAAGAAATATTTGAACAAAAAAAACAAACAAATAAATTCTCAGATTAAAAAAATAGTAGATAGGTAAAAAAAACACTTGGGAAGACTGAAAATATGTAGCTTTAAAA